TGCCCGCTGTCCCCACCACAACTGGGTGCTGGCCTGGTGGACTGGGTGCTGCGGGGAGCCTGGCTGTCCTGTGCCACCGGGATCTGGGGACGGAGGGAATGTGCTGCTCAGCCCTGGGCTGCAGGCAGGGACGTGAGCTGTACGCTGTGCCCTCCTGGCCGCAGGTTAACAGCACGCTGGACTCGACCCCTGCCAAGGTGCAAGAGCAGTCCCAGGAGACGGTGACAAGTAAGCAGGGCTTTGTGCCCCGTGTGCCGAATTCTCCCTCTCCCAGGGCTCCCTCCTTCCTTCTCACCCCATCCCTGCCTGGAGACTTCCCCTGCTGCCACGCTGCTGCCTGCAGCCCTGTCTGTCCCAAAGTGTCATCATGTTGATGGCATCCTTGGCCACGACTGTCCCCTTCCCATCCTCTCCGGGTCCCCGCTGCCCCAGGTTCGCCTGCCCCAAACAAGCAGGACCCAGGCAGCAGCTCACAGCACCCACCTGTCCCTGTCCCCTGCAGAGACCCAGGACCAGCTGGGCCTCATTGGGCAGGAGATCAGGAGCTTGCAGGAGCAGTTGCCGCTCCTGGATGTGGAGGAGAGCATCGGGGCCTTCGTGGGCAATGCCACGTCAGTGCTGGAGGACTACAGGGAGCCGATCATCTCCTTGGATGGGCTTAGGTAGGTGAGGGGCTGCCACATCCCCTGGTTCCCTTGTCCAGAGATGCTCAGGCTCTTGATCCTCCAGTTGCTGGAGGTGGGGGCTTGCTTGGTGGTGGGGCTGTGGGTGCAGGGTAGCCAGAGCTGTGCCTTGCGGCCACCTGTGCCCCTTCCCTGCTGGAGAGCCTGGGGGGCTTTTTTCCTCCCCATGAAGGCAGCTGGTGGGATGCCAGGCACTGCTCAGGGTGCCAGGTCCTGCTATCTGACCCCTGCCCCTCGTCTTGCCCCAGGTGGAGTGTGTGTGTCCTCCTGTGCTGCATGGTGCTGCTGGTGGTCCTCTGCAACGTCGTCGGGCTGCTGCTGGGGCCCTTGGGGCTGGAGGAAAATGTGCTG